TTCCTCGCTATTGATTGTCTCTAACACTGAGCTAACGCTTTCGTCTTGGCTTTAACTGATGGTCGATAAATGTGATGGGATAAGGAAAGCGCCCTCTATATCAAATTGTAATAGTATTGTAGCGAGGCCGGAGCGGAGCGGGCGGCCGGGAGCCCTTACCTTCTCCCATTACGGCGGAGGTGCGCCGCCGGTATCAACTGCTTCGCCGCGATCGGTGTGGACGATGTTAGATAGTACTGGCATCTGGAGCTCTTCTGCTCTTGAAAGGCTTTTAACTACTCTTCTACCTTGGTTGCTGATTTTTGTAACTTAAATGAAAAACTGAAAATAATAAAAACTTCGTATGCGACAGGGGGGGTGTGAGGACGAACGGAGCTTGTCTGGAGCCCCGCTCTATCGCTAAAGCTCCTCCCGGCGAGGGCTGTCCTCGCTGCGGTGGCTATGTGTACGCTGCAGAGCAGATGTTGGCTCGCGGTCGGGTGAGTGCTAAAGCAATATACATCTGAAGTTTTATCTAACAATTCATCCGCTTTATAGGTACGCAGTCAACTTGCTTCAATCATATTTAAGTACTGGATTGATTGGCTTAGTATTTTAGAAATTAAATTAATACGTGGAGTACATTTGTTTTGTCTAGAAAACAAATAAGACATTAATAAGTTATATTATGCTTTAGGGCTATCATAAACGATGCTTCAAATGCTTAAATTGCAACAAGACGCTCGATTCCATGATTCACTGTGACGGGCCAGATAACGAAATATATTGTAAAGGTATCTAAATGTATACTTAATACGGATTCCCCGTTCATTATGCATTGCTTTGCTAATTAATATCATAAATTATTGTTTGTGGTAACCGAATGTTCATCTAGAGGTAGTTTTGTGAAGTCCCTGCATGTAGTGATATTCCTCATTATTGTCACTGTATGTCCAGGCGTGGCACAAGGAGTGCTTCAAATGTGGCGACTGCATGAAACGGCTGGACTCCACCAACTGTTGCGAAGGTTCCGACAAAGATATTTACTGCAAAGGTTCGTGTTTTCTTCATTGTACATTATACCCATTACAAATAAATAAAAACATAATTTTGTCAAACTAATTAAAATAGAGAAAATATCGTACATACATTTTAATGTTATTTATTGCATGTTTTATACCTGATCCTGTGATGTCCCATTTTATTTACACTATGTGAATTTTGTCTTTAGTTTGCTATGGCAAGAAGTTTGGTCCTAAGGGATATGGTTACGGAAAAGGCGCTGGTGTGCTGCAGAGTGACCCTTACGCCAATGGGTAAGAACAGCTTAATGGTCGGAGTTACACTCATCTGGCGAGGGCACAGCTTTTTGACAGCCAATTAATTATCTACTTAAAGTTTGAAAAATATGCATAAACGCTGTGTACTCATCAGATGTAAATATAACGCTAGTTTGCTTTTGCTATAGGATGCTACGCACAAAAATTCGGAATCAGAGGTGTCGGACATGGAGGAATGTCATCTCTGGGTCTTATGTGTGATATTAAGGACTTGGAATGGCAAAGGTACATACAGTGCCTCCTGGATCTCTATATAATACGTATAAGACTGTATTAAAATGTGGTATAGACTAGTCAGTAACACACTACCTACTAACACTTATAATTTGCTTTTAGATTGCCTCAGCAAAGAAACGTGTGCATGCCGTGCTAACTACAACTTACAATTTTGTCATTAATTAACTGTTTTGTAAGTGTAATTCTTTGGTTAGCAACAAGTATTTATGTATAGTTCTCAGGTTACACGACAGGTTTAGGTTATTTCCATCACATAGTCACTTTCATAAAAACAGCTTATAATACAAACAAGCGATGGCAACCTGCCAATGTGAAAATAGAATGGGCTCTGCGCTCTCGATCGTACTAATTTTAATATAGGCGAGACTGGCCACGCGTTTTAAGCCCGCAATATGTAATCTACCGCATAACTCTTCTTTATTAATGGTGCACGAATATTATGCAATGGCATTCGTTTGCGTCAGAATATTGCATAAACATATAGGCATCCCGTACCTATGCACTTCTAAATTTAAAATTGAACTAATTGTATTGCAACTATATTTCACGATATTAAAGTACCTACATACTTACATACGTTATAGTTTTTATGTTCTTAATAATGGAAATGGGAATAAGAACATATTATTATATAAATGTATCTATAGACATACACAAAATAACAATATTAAGTAACAACAGTACCGAATTTTATCACGATCGAATGGTTTAGGAACATATACTTAGATGAGAAACATACTTACCTATAAATATTTACACAGATAGACAGAAAACATATTGTTACTTCGCATTATTTTTAATTGAATTTTTGTTACATTTTATGTAGTGATCAAGCACCTAAGACCACCGTGATTGATACTGCATCCATTAAAGCCCCGCCTGGCAAGGGCTGCCCGCGTTGCGGTGGAGTTGTGTTTGCTGCTGAACAAGTTTTGGCCAAAGGCCGCGAGTGGCATCGCAAATGTTTCAAGTGCCGCGATTGCACAAAAACTTTGGACTCCATCATTGCTTGCGATGGACCTGATGGCGAAGTCTATTGCAAAACTTGCTACGGAAAGAAATGGGGACCTCATGGTTACGGATTCGCTTGCGGCTCTGGCTTCTTGCAAACCGATGGCTTAACGTAAGTTTTAACTTATTTAGTTATATAGGTATGTATTTACTATAAATAGAAGGTTGGGATGGATGTTGAGTAAGTTATCGACGTTAATTAGGTCTAATATGTAAAAGTACAGTAAGAAAGGCTTGTCCACATTAGCGCGAGTTATGTTCCAATATTATGTAGGTATAGAAACTATCAATTAACTGGTTCGAGAATGAAACATCACATCGATAATTAGTAATAATTATATTTAAATTAAATAAATTTACACGTGATTTGTTTTAAATCTTAGTGAGGAAGAGATATCTGCTAGCCGTCCTTTCTACAATCCGGACACGACCAGCATCAAGGCTCCGAAGGGCCAAGGTTGTCCTCGTTGTGGTGGGATGGTCTTTGCTGCCGAGCAGCAGTTGGCCAAGGGCACTGTAAGTTGCACTTTATACAGAGTATTGATAACGCCTATGAACTTTTTTTACGCATCCAAGATCAAATACAATCATCAAGTCAATAAATTTACATCAACATTTTTAGTCATTGTTTTTACGATGTAATCGTTATGAGTGAATGAGCGTGTTAACCCGCCTGTTTGTTTGATAGGATTAGCTTTTATATAAAGACATTAGCTATCACTAAAATATAATGAAAACAAACCCTGAATATGGATGGAAATCGACTAGTCGGACATTTAAGATGGTTATATATTTGTTAAAATGTTTTATTTTCCAAATAGATGTGGCACAAGAAGTGCTTTAACTGTGCGGAGTGTCATCGACCACTGGACTCGATGTTAGCGTGCGACGGTCCCGACAAGGAGATCCATTGCCGCGCTTGTTACGCTAAGCTTTTCGGGCCCAAGGGATTCGGTTACGGTCACGCCCCTACTCTCGTCTCTACCGACTCTGAACCGACAGTTACATAGTAAGTGTTTTTTTTGTATTGTAAGTGTAAAGTTCTATGTGTATAAATATATCGAGGGGTGATTTGGTTTAAGCGACATTTTTGCAATTTTATAGTAGAGCCATTTTTTTATTGCATAGATGGGTGGTCGAGAACACAGCCTACCTGGTGTTAAGTGGTTACCCACCTTGAGATATGAGTTCTAAGGTCACAGTATAGTTACAACGGCTGCCCAACCCTTCAAACCGAAACGCATTATTGCTTCACGGCAGTAATCGGTAGGGTGGTACCTACCCGTGCAGACTCACAAGAGGTCCTACTGCCAGTAATTACACAAATTATAATTTTGCGGATTTGATTTTTATTACACCATGTTATTACTTTACCATGGAAGTCAATTGTGAACATTTGTTAAGTACGATTTTCATTAGAAAAACTGTTAAATTATTATTAAATTAAAGTTTAAACAAAATTAATTAAAACAAAAAAACTTCTTCAGTTATTTGAATGGGGTAAACTTAATTAAAGTTCTAATAAATTGAACTGTTGATGCTAATACCAAATAAAACGGATCTTTAATTACAAAGATAAATGTTGCATATTAAGCAACATGTTGAAGAAATAACAGAATTAAGGATGACATTCCAAATGGATGTTATTCTTAAAAATGTAGATATGTTCTATGGGGGTTGCAAAAGTGTATCTCCAAATTAGCTTTTCAATTTTCTATTCTAAAATAGTTTATAAAGTTTGAATGGCATTTTTTGTTGCAAGTGTTTGTATTGAGTAGATTATTAGGTATTACAATGCAATATGTAATACACTATAAAATAGTAATCATTTATTGTTTATCAATATATATATAAGCTAGCTTTACATCCCACTTGTTGTTCTATGAATGAGAGAACCACTTGAACTTTGCCACCTCCTAGAGATATTGAGGTTAAAGTTTAAATTACAATATACATACAATGCAATAAACATAGCTATCTTATTCTTTAATCTGGATGGAATGACAAAAGTTCAGATGAAAAAAGTTTGATATTCATTTCTCTTGCCCAATCTTAATTGAAACAATAGAAAATTGATTGATTTAATAATAATTGAAACAGTTACCTAATAGAAATTTAGCAAATAGGTGCTTCTTTTATAAATTTTAAGTGCATACACTTCATATACTTAATTCTTACTAGCACATTTTTATTTTGTTGTGTAATGCTGACATTTTGTTTATAGCACAGAACAACTTCCATTCACTGGCCAAAAGGCAGCCAAAGGGCAAGGTTGTCCTCGGTGTGGCTTCCCTGTTTATGCCGCTGAACAAATGCATTCAAAGAATGGATCGTGGCACAAGCGGTGCTTCTCGTGTGCAGACTGCCACAGATCTCTTGTAAGTAAAATGTGTAAAGTGTAAACTTTTGTAGGTAAAATTAATAAAGAACAAATAAAATTAAGTAAAACATTTATTCTTAAAGCATTATATTCGGTTTGTTTTCAAGAAATCAGGTTCATCGTCGTGTTCTTTATCGAGATGAGTATTCAAAAATTCTTCTACTGAATCAGTGTTCCATTTTTCGATGGCTACGGTATCTTTTACAATGCCATCCTTATCAAGTAGTTTAATTATTGGGTCCAAGCCACGTACATATTTGATTTGAAGATTAGGGAATTTTGCCGGCCTGTCACTTTTTACGAAAGCCTGGATTTGTGGATACGCTGGAAATTTGCATGTACAGACTTCTAATATGGCTCGAGCGTATTTCTTTTCTTTTGAAGCTGATTCATCTGAATGACAACACTCCTTACAGTGATCTACGAGTTGTTCCAAGCTAAAATCTTTCAATTGATCACATGAAGAGCAANTTTGAAGATTAGGGAATTTTGCCGGCCTGTCACTTTTTACGAAAGCCTGGATTTGTGGATACGCTGGAAATTTGCATGTACAGACTTCTAATATGGCTCGAGCGTATTTCTTTTCTTTTGAAGCTGATTCATCTGAATGACAACACTCCTTACAGTGATCTACGAGTTGTTCCAAGCTAAAATCTTTCAATTGATCACATGAAGAGCAAAGTAGGTTAGCTTTAATAAAACCTAGAGAAGCACAGTCTTCTGTTGAAAACTCTGCCACAGCTCCATCATATGTCACTAGCACGGCTAAAACGAAACACTTCCAATACATTTTTACTACCTAAACGCTTATTTCCTCGCACTTTCGACGAACTTAATAATTTTCAAACAAATTTTTGACTTCAATGAGCCTTTCAACATAATGACCTTTTTTGACGTTGACACTGACGTTTAAGATATCATTGCTAATTATTTATTTGGAAAAGGGAAACGTATGGACCACAAAGCTTTTGTGGGAGATTATACAGAACACTCCCATTACAATTTTGAACATTACACGAAGTAATGTAGTTGTAGAAGATTAATTTTTTAGTTAAATATGTAAGATATATTTTTAATTCATTTGTAATAAAATATACATTTGCATTATAGTTATAGATAATACACACAAATTAGTTAATTGTAGTAAAGGTAGTACCTATTAATCACTTAAAAAAAGCGAGATATAATGGAACACTTTATTGTTGTAGGATTCTACTAACTTGAACGATGGACCCAATGGCGAAATTTACTGCAGAGGTTGCTACGGTAGAAACTTCGGACCCAAAGGAGTTGGTTTCGGTTTGGGTGCAGGCACATTGACCATGGCATAAGAAATCAATATAAAGCTGGACTTTATAGGAACCATTTGAAAAAAAAATGGTAGCTTGAAAGGAATTTAATCTACATAAGACATAACTGCTGCTACCTATTGAACTATCTTACCATTTGTTAAACTGGATTTAATAATGGTGGATACTATGCTTACATGAGACTAAAGGATTGAAATAATATTTTAAAGTTAATATTTTGTGTATTGAACTTATAAATTAAAGGTTACATTCCTTTCACAAATGTACAAATGGATGATGAATGTGTCTGGGCCCTTAGTTTATAGATTCTTCATAAAATATTGTAGTTTTAAGACAAATAGACATAAGAATATACTAGGTATGTACCTAACAAGAACAATACGGCATTGTGATTTTTGTAACCTCTTAATATCATGTTTTGGGTATTGAGGTATAACTATCCTGTAAACGCGTATAAGATTGCATTTAAGCAATCATTTCGACCGACCAGATCTTTATAAGAGGATCTGAAGTGTCTGTATATTTTTATACACCAAAGATTTTTGTATATAATTTTGTAATTCTATTATTTCGAGCACAATGAGTGCAGGAATAAATTTTGACTATGTATACGCTTTCAAAGCTTTCGCTATATAACATTCATTTATAAATTCGGTTTATGTAAAATTAAGTCAGCTTATTGCATAATAACATTATATTGTATTAGAAAAAAATGTATAAGATGATTTTATTTCATTAAAATAGGTCGTCACACTTTTGCGTTTCATTTATCAAACAATATTAGTTCTAAGTTATTACCCATATATTGCATTAACTATGTTGCCAGATTTTATAAAGCTTTATAATGGAATCTAAAAATAATGACCGCTGTACATATATCTATCTGTGGCAAGTTGCCTACAGAAATGTACCGCATAAATGGCCTTTACAGGACAAAAATAGGTAACATGTATTGTAGGACCACTTGGGAAGGTACCAACATATACTGTATTTCTGCTGCGAAGTAGCAACTCTTTCTGGTTTAAAAGGTGTACAGCCGTTGTAAAATACTTCAACCTCAGACCTCCAGGTGGGTGGCGGTATTTACGTTCACGATATCTTTAGCACCAGCAAAAATAGCACGGTAGGTTTTAACAAAAAGTCTTCTAGCAGTGGCATTTCTCTATATTTAAATTTAATACAAAATCCACAACCAATTAAATTTTATTCGTATCACAATTCAAATTATTCAGAAAATTTCTTTCAACTTCTAACAAAAATCTAGCTTGGAGGTAGTTTGAAATACTCTTATGGACATATTCATTGCTAGTGTAAATTTAATAGTATGGTAGTGCATTAGTGATTTTTAAAACACTTTCAACCGTTTTAGGAATTCGACAAATAGCGATTCTGGTAACAATTAAATAAAAGACACTTAATACGAATTCTAAAAATAATTTTCATACGTGCAGGTACATTATTTTTTAATTATGTGATGTAAGTGTTTTACATATTATGTACAAACTTAGTTTAAGGCGAGCGTAATTGTATACCTATGCCGATTTGTTATTACCTTCCACATATACTGTTCCATATGTTACTGGTGGTAGGACCTTTTGTGAGTCCGCGCGGGTGGGTACCACCGCCCTGCCTATTTCTGCCGTGAAGCAGTAATGCGTTTCGGTTTGAAAGGTGGGGCAGCCGTTGTAATTACTTGAGACTTTAGAACTTATATCTCAAGGTGGGTGGCAAATTTACGTTGTGGATGTCTATGGGCTCCAGTAACCACTTAACACCAGGTGGACTGTGAGCTCGTCCACCCATCTAAACAATTTAAAAAATCCATCTGTTATACGATATCTTCACAGATATTGAAATAAGCAATAAAAAAACAAACAATTACACTAGACGCTTCATTAAGATGATTGCGTCAGTGTTACCAGTTGTTAGCACACAAGTGCCCACAAGGAACATACGGAACTTATTGAATTATGTTATAAATTCCTAGTTTTTTAATAATTATTAAAAATTTATGACAACAGTATTCAGGGGGTTGTATGTTAAGTGATTGAACATCACTTTTCATTAAGTCGAACACTTTCCCGTGAGGCATAGATATGCGATTTACGCCCGGGTACATTTTGAACTTAACTATACTATTATTATTTAGGAGGCGGCAACAGGGTTGAGGTAAAGCTTGGCTTGGTTTATTTAAACTGTAAATATACAGCTCCTTACTCTTTATATATAACGCCTTAGAAACTAATATTCAGAATGATTTAAAACAATATTACTTTGACTTTGAGTCTTAAATATGACAGCAGCATGAATTTAAAACATGGATATATACTTGAACCGCGAATCCGTCTGCTTATTGACAGTAAAAAATATTCAACAATAACACGATTTTTTAATTATTCTTAATGCTTATTCACTTATTCATCAAATACTATGAAATATAATAATCAAGGCTTCCAACTCAATTCAATCAAATTCAATGCAGACTATTTTAATAATAAAATTAGTCGCGTTTTATGAATGATAACACTATGACAATAATACGCTTTTACGAGTTTTTATTCGAAAACTTGAAAATAAGCCGTAAAAGGGATTTGACATGTAAAAATGTAATATTAATAAAACAAACCAGGCATGACCGATTTTTCCATGTTCATCAACTTCAATTTTTTTTTTCACATACTATTTAAACACATTCGATTACTATCGGTGATTTTCATGAAATGTTCGAATCCGAATTACCAAATACTTTATATTTACCGAATCTATCCAAAACATCACGTTATATAATGAATATATATATATAAATAATGAAAATTAAGTATTTAAAAAACGATTGTTGAATTGTAGATGCTCAGGTAACCTGTTATACATTTTCATCAGAAACCTACTTTTTTCTTAAAAAATCGGTTGTCTGTAAAGTCGGTTTCCTGACGATATTTGAACGTGACAACGTCATAAGAAAATATGCCTCAGAGCGAGGTAACGCCGCATGAGTCATGTTTTTTCGTGCGTGCAGCCGGCTCCATCGAATTATAAGACGTTGTCACGTCAAAAAAATTAAAAGCTATTTTTTCTTTACAACAAATCGAGGTGCTTTTCCTTTACCTTTTGTTGGTTGGGACGCACTGAGTTTTTCGAAACCATATTTATCTTTGACCCTTTCTCGTATGAGCAAACCTCTGATTAACTTCTTCCAATTTCCATAGACTCTGGCTTCGGTTTTTTCGCGTTCACGTTTTTCCTGTTCTTCTTGTTCCTGAAATAAAAATCATGTTATATTTCTCATAGATTCATGGTGGCACAATAAAGCAGCGTAATTATTGTTGTGCACGGCTTGGTGTTGTCAATCTCCATTTGAAAGCTGATAAGTTTTTTTTTTATTGCCCCTTGTAGGCAAACGAACATACGGCCCACCTGATGGTGAGTGGTTACCGTGGCCTATGGACTTCAGCAATGCCAGGGGCAGAGCCAAGCCGCTGCCTACCGCTTCATATTCTCCAATTATTTAGTGAACAAGCGTTCCGTTTTGTAGTATAGGATATTTGAGCGTAGCTTAACAACTGAACAATTTTCACATACCTGGACCCAGGCTTCTGTGAGCACTCCCTCAAACTCTTTACAAACAACAAAGCCGTCGTAAACAGGATGACACCAGCCACCGTCGTAGTCGAAGCCGGTCATCGCTGGTGCACAGTCTATGTTCAATTTTCTTGCCACTCTATTTAAACCAGGTACTAAAAATTAAAAGTAAATTCATATCAACAAATATCTTGAACGTCTTGACTATGTGATATACTATAATATGTAAAGGTGATTTTAATTGAATCGATTGAAAATAAAATAAATTGTCTTATACAAAAAGAGTATACATTTATGTTATCCATAGCCTTTATTTAAAGATAAAATAAATTGTCTTATACAAAGAGTATAAAAAAATTATGTTATCCATAACCTATATTTAAAGATAAAACTGTAAAATGAAATTTTTTGTTTTTTTCCACAACCATTCTCTCTTTTAACAATGTTAACAAAATAAAACGTAGTGCATTTACGCGAATTTAAATCTTGAGGCGTCTGTAACTATGGTCAAATTTTGATCATCGGGTGAATTATTAAGTGGCTTAGAATGGGCAAAATACTAACATTATAGATACTCGGACCGGTGGGTCTCATGAACCAAGACTATTACATCACTCGTGATTCTTAAGAATACTTAACGTAAGACAGACCGAAAAAATAGATTCTACTATGGTTTTTGGTACTACTATATGCAATTTGATACACATTATCATCAGCTGACACACTGAGTCAACAAACTCGTGTGATGTGGGGTGAGGGCGTTTATCTGCTGCCTCCAATTTAGATTACAAAGCTTTAGAGCTTCAGAACCTATGTTAATTATGTTATGTTTAACTTAGAAAATTGATATTATAGTAATCATTTTTAGTTGGGTAAACATCACCCAGCCCCTTCTATACAGATAGATGAAAGAATATTATCTCTTGATATGAAGTATTCGATCCGTTTTATAATTTACAGAATCCTTAGTAATATTCTTACTAACATTTAATTCGCACTGTTCCTTTAGGTAACATGCATTCCTTGAACAGTTCTACATTTCCATAAGCATTCCGAGGCACTATTCCATTTTCAGCTACAGGTGGTTCATAGTCTTGAACCTGCCATGGTCCATACAATTCCAGAACTTTATCTTTGATTAATGTATTTGATAACTGAAAAGAGAATCGCGGGTATAATTTATTCACATTTAATTTGTAATTTTCTTCTGGGGTTGCATACAGCATAATATGTACTGCTGCCCATCTTACGAGTTGCGGGCCTTTGGAAATTTTTTAAATATCTGTGAAGATATCATATAGCAGAGGGGTTTTTTTTGCTTATATGGGTGGACGAGCTCACAGCCCAACTGGTGTTAAGTGGTTACTGGAGCCTATGGACATCTACTACGTAAATGTGCCACACATCTTGAGATATAAGTTCTAAGATCTCAGTATAGTTACAACGGCTGCCCCACTCTTCAAACCGAAACGCATTACTGCTTCACGTCAGAAATAGGCGGGGCGGTGGTACCTACCCGTGCGGACTCACAAGAGGTCCTACCACCAGTAATTACGCAAATTATAATTTTGCGGGTTTGATTTTTATTACACGATGCTATTCCTTCACTATGAAGGTTAATCGAGAACATTTGTTAAGTACGTATTTCATTACAAAATTTGGTACCCGACTACGGGATTCGAACACCGTTGCATCTCAAGATACCAATGCTCCGGACGTCTTATCCTTTGGGCCACGACGACTACAAGGGTAAAATGGTTGTTTTACTGATAAAGAACATTGGTGAACACACTGCATGTATCCAAATAAAGAATTAGTAAACAAATGGTAGTTATGAAGAAAACATATTTTAACTGGATTAATTTGAAACTTACCTTATCCCATTTCGGCCGCGCTTTCACAATTTTGTAAGGTTTTTCACCAAGTTTGACAACTTTGGCCTCTTTAAGCCACAGATCTCGTGATCTACATACGTACACGCAGTCCCTGGAGTATACCGCTTCGCCGCGTACGAATCCTAATGTTGCCGCGTCTGATGGATACATAGCTTCGAACTTCAATAAGTGTCTTTTTAGAGCATACAGAGGATGATTCTTGTACCTATAAAAGACATACGACTGAGTGGTATTACATAATTTGTATTGAAATTGTTATTAATTACATGTTAGATAGTAATTTTTATGTACACTTCATGTTTCCACAAATTACTTTTTTTTTCCTACCTAAGCCTTGAGAGGCTATTTCAGCGTAACCTTAACTAGTAGGTGAGCTCACGGGGCTCAAATCTGACAACGTTTCTAACAAAAAACCCTAGTATGAGCCGTGCTTCGCAGAATCTACCCCCGGATCGGAAACGCGACCCACTGAGAAGATCCGGCGAAAAACTCAGTGGGCTGTGGCTGTGGGTTAATTCACTCGTCGAGCCCTTCGTCGCAAGCGACGGGTTCGATGAGAACTATGACCGGTGCTTGAGGTACTTAAAAGCACCGTTAGTGGATCGGGAGGATCCGAAATGACGTGTGGGCCAAATTATATTTAATGGGTACTATACTAGTATGTAGGCATGGTATGTAATTGTAAATTTCTTACTCGGCAATACTTTTCGGCAAAGGTGCTTCAAGTTGCATCTTATTTATATATTCATCTTCTTCTTTGTCCCGTGCAGTCTTAGGTCCAACCCACGGGCTTAGAGCTTTTTCCCACCAATCCAGTTCGGCTCGTAATTTTCGCGTCACCGTATTATAGTGAGGCACGTATTTTCTAGTCAAGTCTTTCAAGTAATTGTTGTTGTCCCAGCCAACAATATAGCACACCGGGTGCGTAGCACGAGTCTAGGAATTAAATGTAATCATTTTACTGTTGTAGTTTTTAAATTATGTAATTCCATACTAGACTTTTAACAACACAACATAGGTACTAGTATTTATTAAGCTGAAAATCAATATTCCCTTGCTTTACCAAAATATAAATTTCTGCCGAAGTAAAATCATTTTACAATGACAATGGCATTAACGCTCTGTTTGTTATTACCAGCATGTAAATAAAGTAAAAACCATGCATATGTACTCTCATAACGTGTCCTTTCAGATTGTTGAGAATGAACTACTTAATTAAAATTTTAAACTAGCCGTTGCTTTTATTTTCATTTTGTATATTTTTACAATAACTGAATTAAAAGAAAAGAAAAAACGATGTATGCATAGCCTAACCAAGATATTTATAGCATATAGAGTCAATACATTTTTTTTGCTCTTAATATTTTATGCAAACGAACAAAGCAAGGGAGTTGGCTTAAATGTAACACTTACATAAATTGTATCTGTGTCATGTATTTTTCCACTAACAACATCAACACATATCCACTGTTCAAGTTCTTCAGCAAAAATCTCACACCAAATGTCGATTTTGTTTTTAGGTTTTTCATCATCTGACGAAAGTACACGACGATCTATTTTCTTACTTGTACTGGGTCGAGGACTAATTTTAAGTGGTTTGAAATCATCATCACTTTCTGGTATATTTTTGCGAACTTCCTCTTCTGGTAAGAGGTCACTGTCACTATCTGATTCTTCTTTTATTTTTTTTGCTAAAAATGTATTTTTCATTTTGTTAATACTTAAATGAACGAAATAACGATTAAAAAAAATAAAAAGAAAAAACTGACCTTTTGATCTCAACTTATTTGAGTCACTCTTAGCTTCTTTTATTCTGCCTTTTATTATTGTCACAAGGTCCTCAGTGACATCATTTTTAGATTTATCACTTATTTTCTTTAGATCTCTATGACTTACTCTTTGCTCAGGTTTGACCTGGACATCGTTTGACCTTGTATGTCTGGTTACTTTAGATCGTTTACTTTCTATTTCTGTATCACAAAAGTATTTGCTTTTTTCTACTTCATTAATTGCACTTTTAGTCCTTGCTTTAGTGACCTTCTCCTTAACATCCAAACTGTTATTTTTATTCGTTTTATTAGATTCAAAGGTGTGCGATCTTTTCCTACAAGTCCTGCTTTTATTTTCGTCAACAGTAGCTGTGTTAGTTTGAAAATATTTGCTGGAAACTGACTTTTTGTTTTCATCAGACACAAGGGGAATATTTTTGATTGCTTTTCTTTTGGCTGGTTTTGCATTCGCTAGAGTCTTTTTTGTAATTTCTAATTCAGGTTTAGGTAAAATTTTGCAGCTTTGTGGTTTTGAAGAAGCATTTTCTTTTGGTGTTTTGTCTTTTTCTTTACCATCTAATTTGTCACTGATGATTGATTTAATTGCTCGATTTGGTAACAGCTTTGTAGATCTCTTCATTGCAATATTATCATTATTTTCATCAATCAAAACGTTTGTAGGGTTTCCATGTTTACTGTTTACACCTTTTAATGATCTATTAGGCTGCTTTCTATCACCTAGGGAAGGATTTTGTGTAGACTGTTTAGGGTCTTTTTTTAATCGTTTTTGAGGTAAATCATCTTCAGTTTCTTCTTTATTTTTAAGAGAATTGACATTACCAGCTCTTGCAGATCTCGTACTTCTGGTTTTGACGCCAAGGGTGTCATCATTACCATCAACTTGCATTATGTTTTGAAATATATTTCCATCATCGTCATTTCCGTCCACTTGCGGAATTTTCGGTTTTGATGTTTTTTTAGAATTAGATTTCTTTTCGCTATCTTCTTTGTGTTTCTGTTGTTTTTCTTCAACAACTTCCGATTTGGATTTTTCATTTTTATTGTCTTTTGCTTTTGTTGAAAGTGAATATAATTCGAATGTCGATGGTTTTAGAGGCAGTGTAACAAAATTCATCATGATACGGCACTGTAGGCCGAGAGCTCGCAATAAAGCAACAAATACAAAAACAAAAAACTTCTTTGTTGTTACAGTTCTTCTGTTGATTTGTTCTAGTACAAGTGTTTTTAGTGGAGGGGCTTTAGGTTTGAATTTATCTTCATTTTTATCTTGTTTTAAGTTCAACTTCTCACGAAACCATTTTGTGATTTGTTCTATATACTTCATATCAACTCTGTCCTTAGGATAACATTCTTTTGATGGTACCAAAGAAAGGGCTACAGCCATAACATCTTGATCGTTTATAACGCGACTGACATAATTACCGTAACCTAACCAGCAGAGTACATGAACTTTATGCATATAAATCTGATTTTCTTTTCTTGTTCTATTAATTTTTCTTTTCATCATCATCTCCACATCAATGGCTTTCTTTTTCTTACAGCCAGCCTCAGGAAATTTCACAATAAGTTGTATACCTTGTTGTGAGGCAGTTTTCACTTCTGAAATTTGATAATAATTATAAGAATAATTCCAAACCAAAACAAATTGAAATGTTCTATTGAATTGTTGAAACATGCAATATGAAAATTATTGTTTTTGGAATGAAATAAATATGTATCTGTTAAATTTTATTTGTATTGAGATTCTCTTATTGTCTTAATACCTGTGACCTCTTCCCAGTCTTCAATTTCAGAATCACTCTCATCTTTGACTCTTCTCGGTTTAGTTTTCTTTTTTACAATATCTTCTGTAGGTGGAGCAGCCTCTTCGCCAAGTGCTAAAAGATCTTTTACATCAGATATTTTTTCTTCCTTAATATCTTTGTAGTTTTGTATTGATTCTTTCACCTCTTCTATTTTATTTTTGTGTTGTTCAAGCTCCATGAAGGCCTTCTTTGCTATTTCCTCACTCTGATCAACATTTTGTGACCAAACCTGAAAAACGGAAAACAGGAGGGCATAATTTTTTAATATTGCTGAAAATTTATTTGGCGTTTGCAAAACTTATCCATTTGCTGTTTAGTGTAATTTTATGCAACATTTAATGTATTTTATTCGCTTCTAAATGACTTGAGCTTATCTATTCTCTCTTGTATTATGATAGAACCTACTTTAAAAAATCCACTGCAACTTATTTCAGTTCTATTTGACAAACAATGCACAGACATACAGAATATGAACAAAAATCACTTATTCAAGCATAATTCTGTCTCGCCGGTTCTGGTGCAACAGGGTATCTTGGAAAACCAGCGGCTCCGCTTGGTAGTCTTGATGGGCCGCTGTACCAAGAGAGCCGAGACTGAGTCGTCAATTCGTCTCACTGACTCGATGATAATCAGTGTTCGCTGCAATAAATCCACTACTTCTTCAAGGTTCTGTCTTGTGTGGGGATCGAACTCTTAGGTCTCGGACCAAAAGGCTTAATCGTACCTCATCATCTGCTTATATTTAATTAAGGCAAACACACAAGCACAGAAAAAACACATTCCTACTAGTGGCCCTGGACAACACTATTTGTGTCTATTTTCCTATTGGTACTGGAACTGCAAATCTTGTTTGTAGTTTCCAAGTTTAAAAATAAGAAGCTGTTTACTTTTCTGTATTTTATTCTAGTGATTGGACTGTGGTTTAAAACCTTTACAGATGTCTTTTTTCTATCGACATATTATATATGGTATAAGGTAAATCTTATACATGTTCAGTATTATTGCAATGAAATAAGACAATATTCTGTAATAAAGACAGCTCTGCAAAATATACAGTGAATTCAAGTTATGGTGAACATGATAGTGGGAATCTATATTGTGTTCTCATTTATAGGCATCTCCTTCCATAAAATAAGGGAAATGGTTGGTAGAGGATTGCTCTCCTAACTGTGCTTCATATATTCCTATGACCTAAGACAGTTGGAAACCTGAAGAGATTTGGAGGAGCTGCTTTACCCTCATACACAAGAAAGCATTTTAAGTTGATAAGTTGCCGGCTCCATCGGAAATCTACCAGCACTTTTAAGTGGTGTGATGTTTTTAAATATTTTAAGGAGTGAAACGAGCTCCATTTATTAGGACATAATTACCCGGTGAGACATGAAATTTAAATGAAAATATGTAGAGTGCAAGTCTTCAGCACCAAAATTAAGCAGTCACTAACTCATGGGTTTTTTTTCATTATTTGTTGTCTTTATAAAAAAGTTGTCTAAAATATGTCTTACATCTTTGTAATTCATTTGAGAGCCTTCATCACTGTCAGTGGTTTGTTCTTTGACATCAGCTATTGGAGGTGTGAATTTTTTCACAGCTACCTTTGGAGTTTCTTCATCACTACTATCTGAAATCGTAGTATTTTATTAGGTTAGCTTAAAATGTATTTTTTTAAAGATTTTTTCACACAATAACCTTTTTTCATTAAATGGCTACTTTTGCATTGTTGCTTGTTATTGTTGCAAAAATAATGTAATATGTGTCAAAAACAGCTGTCCACTAATATCTACCGTTTTAATCACATCCTTGATTTAGTGCACTGTATATTTTATGACATACCCCGTTTTACTTATTTAAAAAAAAATTAAAGGTCCCATGTCGGAATTAAGTAGATTAATCGGAAAAAAAATTAAAATATTTTCTTATAAGTACTGAATACTTTTTAGAATAAAGGTAGAGGTTTAAAGTATAGAAAGAGAACAATTGAGATTTAGTTACTGACCACTTTCAGATAAATTGAGTATGGGTGGAAGAAGTTTATCTTCATCTGTAAGATCTTTAACTGTGAAGATCGTTGGAGATGTGTTTTCCATTTCGAGAGATTGTTTATTTATTTTGCTAATTAATCTTTTGGCGAACGGTTTCTTCGATGGTTTAGGTTTCGTGGCGTTCTTTTTGGTTTTTGTGACAAATTCATCTTCAGACGTTTCTGGTAATTCCTCAGCTTCGTCTTCAGAGCTTGGCACATCAGAAATGTGCGCTTCTGACCCTGAGTCACTAAAATCACCGGTTTCTTCATCACTATCTTCATGTTTGTACACTGTTTTTATAACCTTCTTTCTTGTTACCGGCATGTTCTCATGTTATAATATTTTTTGTTTTAATTTAATCCACCTGAAGCAGAGCTTTTGAATTGTTCAAAGTTCGCTAATTTAAATTGCAAGCACAAGAGTATTCGATGAAAGTGTCATTCAATTTGTTGAATGTTGACATTTGTCTAAATGCTATCTGTATCATCTGTCTACACTAATTTTTTTTGAGATTGTTTTGTTGCCCTGGATGCGAGTTCTTATGAGCCCGTACTCCGTACTTGTAGTTTAGTACTGCCGTATACGAAATCAAATACGGCCGTGTTTTTAAGAGAAACAATTGACTGTAAAAATTTTGAACTTGAATTTATTTTAGTTTAACTTACTTTAAATACTGGGACATGAAACTTCGTAAAAAAGTAGCAGTTCTGACGGCAGTATAGATAAACATATCTCCCACTTGATGATGAATGGGCATTACACTCATAGACGTTAGCATAGCTAAGCTATATTATACGTGTACCACTGATGAAAGAAAATACCGGGAAAGGTTAATACATAAAATGTTACTTAATCGTCCAAATTTATTTGATCATCTTCAAAGTATGCTCCTTCAGAAACTATACACTAACGCCCACGAATAATCCAATCATCGAAACATTATTAAGCGTTTTTTTCTGGAATAGAGTTCAGCTCCTTCTTACTTAATATTCTCCTTTATGTTATCTACCGAATTTAAACGGGTGCCACGAAATGGTTATTTGAGTTTAGGAAAGAGAAAGAAGGCGGCTGGGGCGATATCTAGTGACCAAGGGGCTGTTCGATGGTACCTATTTGTTGAGTGTTTCGATCAACAAATTGTTCACAATGATTGCCTTGTGCGAAGGCGCATTATCGTGATGGTTGGATGTTGATCCAAGAAGTTTCTTTGCTAAATATCTGGCTTTTTTTATTGAATTTGCTCTCTTAAAGGCCGCATAACGCTCAAATAATATTATTTATTTATCATTTTACCTTGGGGGAAGAAATCCGAGTGTACAATACTGCGATAGTCGATGAATATAGTCAACAACATTTTTACTTCTTTGGTATGGCGTGGCGTGGCTTTTTTGGCTCTATTTTGGCGTTGTTTTTTCGGTTTAATTTCAGTTGGAAGGCACCATACCGAAGCTTGTTGACTACTTTGCATGTCAAAGTCGTAAATCCACGTTTCGTCACCATTAACAATGTGTTAAATGAACGTTGGGCCGAAATTAACTCATTGTAGCATGTCCTCAATAACTTAAGCGACTGGGTTTTGGAGAAAATTTAAATCTTTTGAGACTAGCCAAGCAGCAACATGTTTAAAACCCAACTGATTTTTCAAAATGGTATCAGTTCAATCGCCAGAAACATAAAGTTCGGCGGATATCTCTGTCAAGCTTGAATGAGCATTTAGAACTGGCCTTCTTACTATATGTAACCATTATAAGTTTAATAAAAAATAGTTTTATGTAAAAAATAAAAAGTCAGTATGTACATACATCCGAAGATTATGTTTTATTATCTAACACAATTACCACATACCCTTAGTTGCGGACGTTAATGGCCGACCAGAGTAAGACAAATCTTCTATGATATCCCGACCGCTTTGAACGCTGTGTACCAATCACAACCACCTGTAATTGATAAAATTGATTCACCGAAAGCCTTCTGTACCATTTTCAGTGCCCTAACAGCGAAATTCTATTGGCGATGCAAAATTTAAGATAAACTCTTTGCTTGACGTTTCTGTTGTGAAAACGGAAAACAGTCATGCCAATCTAACAACAAAATAAATTAATTTAGTAACTATCATCAAGATAAACATGCCATCCATTCCTAATACTTTTTTGATTGAATGTATAGGTACATTTAAGAAGTTAGTAACAAGTAAATGTGTAAATATCTCGATCAGTATCTGATTCTCTGAGCATAGAAAATCTTAGTAGGCCAAAAAATAAAAAATAAATCCGCTGCATCTAAGTTTTTAACTAATTCAACTGAATACAACAGGGAACTTCTCATACACCACTGATCGTAAAACTTAAACCATATGTATATTACAATTCTTATAATCCTATTACTTGCAAAATTAAATATGACCGTACTGCTTCTAAATAGTTAGGTGTAGGTATTTTAAAAATTAGAAATTGCAGAAAAGTTTTCATACTGATTGGCAAAGAGCTTAACCTTTCAACACTGTGGAAAACGAAAAATTTCAAGTTCACTCTTGTTACGGCAAGTACGCTTATCGAAATTAAATAATTCAATTTAATGAAATCTGAATGCAGAATGTAGAAAACATGACCCAACTACCACTTTTCTATTTGTTTTAGTAATTGACGTATCCTTGAAGAGGTGTGTGTTTCAGATTACTTTGTGGAACATATATAAATAAGTGAGCCAAATGCACTTGTGCGGCATGTGTCACTTACACCATCCTGCATATTTCTGTACCGAAGCTATCATTCGTTAGGGTTTAGCTTATCGCACTCTAGCGCGCTGCATGAGTATAGAAATGATATGGAAGAGCGACCGGTTGACGGTATATCGTCGTTTAGTGGGAAGGTGGGGGGTGGGGTTTTACCATCTTCGACCACGGAACCTCACATATCCGCGCACCTCCTAGGCGCAGGATCCCTGGACTTAGGTCATTGAAGCAAGAAGCAGAGCATTGAAGAAGCAAGTAGTCCGGGACTTTCTTCATCGCTTAAAATGCTCGATGACGTATGGCAACCATGAGCCAAAAACATTGGTGCGGGCTTATGATTTGTACCCCATCGAAGCAAACATAGTTCAGATGATTCGGCCTTACAGTTTGACGTCAAGTCTCACATCGCCGACCCCCCGATCGTTTCAAAATGTATATTAACCATTTAAGCGAAATCAAAATCGAGGATAATTTTTTTGTGTATTATATGGGTATGGTGTATACCTAGTAGTAGTATATATAACACGACTATAAATAATTTTGCTTTCAATCCAATTCATTACGATATAAGTTATTATTATTAATTTATCACATCCAATTACAGGTACAAAATCGTCATCTTAAAATAAATAACTTAGCAGATAAGGAAAACCAAAAATTTTGCTTGTGTAAAAGTAGGTATCTGTGGTTGGAGTTATGTTGGTCAATATTGCGTCCTGACTTATTGAGTTTTCTTTATCATTATTACTATCAGACCATACGGTCTAGTTAACCTAGGTCTCACCCAATTTATATGAGTGAGACCATTTCTCCATTCTACTCGTCCATTTCTTGCTGACCATCCCTCGCAAGTCATCAAGTATCGTTTAAAATATATTTTATTCCTACTATACCTAGTTGTTCCCGTCTTGCTATACCAAAATTGTCAATAAAACCACTCCTTTTTCTTTGAATTCGATTTGCTAAAAGGTTTTATAATTTACCATAATGGAAAGGTTGTGTTTGTTTATAGAATGGTAAATGGTCTGAATCAATCCCGTTAAGTGCTTTTCAACAGAGCTTTATTGCTTGTACAGTGACGTTGAATGGATGAGCTGTGTTGCGGCCCTTACATCTACCGAAACCCTTTTCACTCATTGCTTCAACAACTTTAGCTCTAGATTCTAGCGCGTTCTACTTATACTTTTCAATCTTAACTCTTTAAAGTAAGATTTCGTTCATATTTAAAATAAGACCAAATTAAAGTGGCGCTCCCGAAAAACCTTTCATCGAAATAATGAAAACCCTAAACTAAATCGTGTTTGAAACGAACCAGCACTCGCCGTAAAGCATAAACTAACATAAATAACTTCAATTGTTTGCTGGCTTATTGTTAACTTTAATTACATTTTGAATTAATTTTGTAATTAAAACGGAAGCTAGAGAGCGCCGCGTGAAGTTTAAGTGGCTGGAAACGGATCGACCCTGCAAGGGGGTGCGGGCAGCGGGGCTTTTAGATGCAATCTCTGAGTGGATTAATTAATTCTGAGGTGCCGGTTATCTTCTGTTATCATTTAATATAGTACGTAATTATATAGAAATTTTGCTTTATGGCAAAGATATTATTCGTTGGTAATTTTCTCGATTTTGTTTTCATTTATGTTTTCAAGGCTCTTCTTTCTTTTAACATTACATCTTTCCAACATGAAAATTGAGGCATGTACAATCTTGAGGTTTTAGAGATTTCTCACGTTCCATAATGTTAGACTAGAAAATGGTTTCGGTTTGATCTCTCCGCCCGCTCCGCAGTCGCGGACGCCCACGGGGATTACCCACGTGGTGCGCCCCGGTCATTCCCCAGGTGGGCACTGGAGCGCCTGAATAAGGCGCTACTGATGGAAGCCTCTACGGTGGCGGCGTGGGCGCCCATGCGTCCACATCCGGTTGAGGTCGAGGGCGAAGCGGGGTGGTTCCGGGACACGATGCGTCGCATCTGCGACGTATCGATGCCCCGGATCAGCCCTCGGTCTCCCAATCGCCAGGCGTACTGGTGGTCGCCCGAAATCGCGCAACTCCGCGTGGAGTGCGTTCAGGCGAGGCGCGAGTGCGCTAGGCATCGCCGCCGTCGCCTGCCGCGGCGCAACGATCCGGTTGCGTTCGCGCTGGTGGAGGCCCGGCTGTACGGCGCATTTCGCGTCGCGCAGAGGGCTTTGCAGCTGGCCATCAGAAGAGCCAAGGATCAACACATGGAGGGTCTCCTGGAGACGCTCGATGGGGATCCGTGGGGGCGACCCTATCATATGGTGCGCAATAAAATGCGCCCATGGGCCCCCCCAATCACGGAGCGTCTCCAGCCTCAGCAGCTGCGGGACATCGTCTCGGCGCTGTTTCCGCAGGAGCGGGAGGGATTTGTCGCTCCCGCTATGGACCCCCCGTCAGAATACGACGGCGACGTCCCTGCTGAGGTGCCCCATATAACGGGGGCGGAGCTCCATGTGGCCGTGCGTAAAATGTGCGCGAAGGACACTGCACCCGGCCTGGACGGCGTCCATGGCCGGGTTTGGGCCTTGGCTCTTGGTGCCCTGGGGGACCGACTCTTGAGGCTTTACAACTCCTGCCTCGAGTCGGGACGGTTTCCTTCATCG